AAGGGTGACTCGTGGCCCTCGGTGGGTTCCTGGCTCCCTGCGTGTTAATGGGGGACTCGTGGCCCTCGGTAGGTACCTGGCTCCCTGCGTATTAAAGGGTGACTCGTGGCCCTCGGTGGGTTCCTGGCTCCCTGCGTGTTAATGGGGGACTCGTGGCCCTCGGTAGGTACCTGGCTCCTTGCGTATTAATTTCCTGCTCATCAGGAAAAACTTCTTCGCATAAATAAATCAGAAAAAGGCAGAAAAGGTTAAATTATTCTGGATGTTTAATAAAAAGATTAGATTACAGGTAGCATGCTAAAAAAGAGCAATAATTTATCTTTATTAAATAGATTTCATATTTTTTAAGTATTTGTTGTGTTTTTAGTTAAATCATCAGATCAGTTCTCTCCATCCTCATCATCATAAGCATCTTCATCATATCCAGACTGAGCCTCTCATCAATGAAGCGCTCCCTGTCCGTGGAGAAAGGCTTTCTCAGGGTCAGTTATGGCACAGCGGTGGAAGCATCATGCTGAGGGCTGACTTTCCTCCAGATCAGAACCATCTGGTCCTGAAGCAGATCAGGCAGAGAAACCAGTGAGTTTCAGCCGCTTCAGGAGCCGTCACAGCGAGGTCAACCTGGAGGTCAACTCTCCACCTGAACCTCCATCATAAGGGGAGTCCCTGCGCCCTGAGGGACGCCACATCTGGAAACAGAACCTCACTGAGTTTTTCAGGAAGCCAGCAATAAATTAGTTTCCATGGATGTCAAAGCAGAGGTGCATTCTGAACAGCGTTGATGGTGTTGCTATGGTAATGCGTCCTTTGACGGTGTAATGATGGGAACCGTTCCCTTCTGTGGTAAATGTTGGTGGTTCCCTCCTGGTTCTGTCGGGTTTTTTAGGAGAACCAGAAGGAGGCTCAGGTCCGAACAGCAGCCCTCATCGACCCGCAGCGGCGCAGCGGCATTGTTTGGTTTGTCGGGTTGGCATCTTCTGTGGGTTTGTGGACCTCAGTCTAAAGTCAGACCTTCTCAGAATCTTCCGGTTCTTTAGCTCTGGCTCTGAAAACGTTCCCTCAGGTTTTTCACCATGTTCCTCTGTCCAAGGTCTGATCTGGTCTTCTGGGACTCATCCAGGTCCAGTGATGCTGCGGTGGTCTTGGTGGACTCATGAGGACTCCTCTTGGTGTCGCCCCTTTGCTTGTACTCGTCAGACTCCTGGTAGGCGCGGCAGCGGTCGAGGACGGCCATGATGGAGATCTTCTCCCTGCTGGTGGGCGAGCGTATCTGGACGTATCTGCCGTCATCCTCCCCTTCGGATTCAGAGGCTGTTTTTCCAGCTTCTGGAAGCTTCTCCATGATGATGATCTTGTGCTCCGGGTCGTCGGTGAGCGGCCTCTCGGCTGCGATGTAGTAACCCTCCTCCATGTCCGGGCTGGCCTGTCTCTGAAGCCTCTGCAGCTCCCCCGTCTGGTGCAAATTCAGCCGAGGATCCAGAGAATTGGCTCTCTGGAGCCGATTGGGGCGCTCCTCCTGGCTGCCTGGAGGCCTACGTGAGGACCATCCACTGGGATCGGAGTGGAGATGACTGGAGGAGCCGCTGGAATGCCTCCTGAGACCCCCGTCCAGCATGTTCTCCGTGACGGTGGAGCTGCGACTCATCGGATTCTTCAGTGACCGGCCACCGTTGGAGTATCTGGAGCGAAGCTCCCGAACATCTGGCCAGCTGAAGCCCTCGGTGGGGGCAGGGGGGCTGAGGGGGCTGCGGGAGGAGGGCCGACCTGGAGACACGGCCCCTGGGGACGGGTCCACTGGGCTCAGAGGCAGGCCGGCGGACTGGCTTTTAGAAACCGGCGGCAGAGTCAGGTTGGGTTTACCTGCAGAAAACAGAGAGTCCATCAGGAGGAACCGAAGGTTAACTTTTATATTCTAGCATCTTTGAAAGAAAAACACCTGGAAGAGAGAAACAGTTTGGTTTCCTTCAAACAGGCTAAAGAAGAAAACATCCAGGTTAACGTAGTGAGAGATTGTTATTAGAGTTTAAGGCCTGAGAGGAAATATTTCAGCTTCAAATCACTGAATCTGCTCTAAAATCTATTTCTGTTCAGATCAGCCGGGTCTGATATGTGAGATTCTGGGTATTTGCCTCAGTGCTGCCCTCTAAGGGTAGAACAGTGGCCACTGCAGTCCATTTTCCCTTTGGACCAAATTATTGTGTGTGTCCATCATTAGGACCATCATCAGATGCCTCCTGTCCTCCATGGCGCCACCTTCAGGTAACTCTGGGTCAGCACCGTGCAGCTAGACGTTCATTCTGATAAGACACCAAACGTCTTCCTAGACCTGCACCTTCTAGAGAGGGAACACATTTATCTGTGGCATTGCTACTAGCATCATACTCCTGCTTCCCGCAGGCTAAGCTAAGCTAGGCTAAGCTAAGCTAGCTGCAGTGTTCTCCTTTAGGTCTCTGGCCCCGCCTGCTGGGCTGTCCTTGTACCTACATGGACTGAGTTGGACTCTAAAGGCCACGGTTGGAGTTGTGGCACCTGGATGATGGGGGGGCTAAGCTGTGCCTCCCGTCTATTCTAATAAAGGAATATCTTAAACCGTGGTGACAGCAGGGGCTTACCTGAACTCTCCTTCTCCTCAAACACACAGGCCAGACTCTTCTTGTTGCAAAGACCGGCCTTACCTCCCTGCCGACCCACAGGACTGGCAGATCTGATCCGCTGGCTGTACCGACGCGCCAGAAGACGGACTTTACTCTCTGCCCTGTCCAGCTCGTCCATTTGGTCCGAATCCTCTGCCAGTTCTTTCCCAGTAGCCTCTGCTCTCAGCTGCACCACCCGAGGAGCTGTGGCTCTGAGGGTCACAGTTTCTTCTCCAAAATACCTCAGGGTCCGACTGTTGGTCCTTGGGGGACTAGTGGAGTCCTCGACGCCGCTCAGAGCAGACACTCCCCACTCCGGGTCACAGCTCCTGCTGATGCTAGCGGGTCTGGAGGGTTTTTCTATGTCCCTGGACCGGTTAGACTCCCGGTCTTCGATTTGAGACCTGGATATCTGTCCCTCCTTTGCCTGCAAGATCTTAATCATTTCAGAAGAAGATCTTAACTCTTCTCCTGGCAGATTGTCATCACTGCGTCTGGGATGTTCTTCAAACTTCTCTCTGAACGGATCAGACTTCTCAGGCTGACCAGAAACCATGTGGTCTGTGGTCTCTGTATTTGTGGCGGGTCCAGGACCTGTGGGGACGTGGTCCGGACCCTGAGGATGGACTGAGGCAGAGCTGGACTGGATGGCTTCATCTCGCGGTATGCTGTTAAAGCGGCTGACGGAGCTGCGGACCAACCCTGAGGGGATGTATGTCAGACTCTCCCTGCGCCGCAGGCTAAACGCCGCGTCCTGGTTCCCAGCGTTCTCATAGTAATTTTTGATTTTGCCAATCAGCAGCAGGTCCTGCTTGGACAGGGTGGAATCCCGTCTTCGCCGAATGCTTCGGTCTTGATCCAAGATACCGTCATCTCGGGGGGACACCAGACTCAAGTCTGTTCCACCCAGAGGTTCCAGAGGATCATACAAGTCGCTGTTGAGCCGGAACGATCTGTTGGCCGACTCGGACCTGAGGCTGAGCATGCTGCCAGATCTGCTGGGTAACCGAGGAGACGGACATCCTACAGACCAGCCATCATCCTGGGCCAGGCTGCCTCTCCTGATGCTGCTGGAGCAGTGCTGAGCGATGGCGCTGGCCTTGTCCAGAACCGAGGATGGTAGAATACTGGGAGAAGTGGACTCTTCTCCCACTTCACCCTCATCTTCCTCAGAAGATTCACCACTGCTCAGAGTCTTGGCGTCAGAAGAGGAGGGCAGGTCAATGTGTTCTGGATCTTCATCAGCGTTTGGATGTTCAGACATCTGAGGGACCTCAGGGACAACGGAAAGATCAGAGGACTGTTCTGCTTCTTTCAAGAGCTTCTCTTCAGGCAACGTATCTGTTGGCGGCTGTAAAGGAGAAGATATGAGTCAAAACATTTGAACTAACAGCTGAAGACCAGAAGAGGATCGTTTCCTGAAGCTGGTACCGAACCGTACATCAGTGGTACCAAAATGTTTAGCAGACCCACTAAGCTTCTGCCATATGAACAAACCCTCACAGATCAGTGATCGAGTCTCTCAGAGGATGGTTGGGTCACTGACCTGTTAAGGTTCCAAGTCTCCTTTTTCCTCATCTGCTAAAAAACTAAAGAAATCAGTTGATCAGGCTTTACTGGTACCTGCTCAGGTGCTGGTTCTGCTCTGTTCTGTTCGTCTGCAGAGTACTGTCCGTTTTCTGTGCTGGAGATGAAGCCTCCTCTCTCTGCCACCTTCAGAGAACAGAAACATCACCGGGTCAGATGTTGGATCAGCTAAATGCTCTCTAAATGTTCAAAATACATCAGCTTATTAAATGATTTTAATTCAAAGTCAAATAAACATGTAGTTTAGTTACTTAAAGGCGATTTAGTTTAATTTACAGCAGCTGACCTTTTGTTTGATCAACACTCAAAATGATTAGTTGGAGGCATGAAAACTTTCTCTGAAATCAAAGGGTTGATTAGAAAGCTTTGGGAAGCACTGCTCTGCTGCATGAAGTGGCTCTTTATGACGGACAGAAAGCAGCATCTCAGCTTTGCACACAGCATCAAACATAAAGAGAAAAAGCAAGGAGAAAGGAGCAGCAAACCTTTAGACGTTTATCTAAGAAGGTCCAAAGCTGGGGAAGCTGAGTTTTATGGTGTGGCTCTGGGCGTCCAGTTAGTCTACCACCAAGACTGGAAGCTATAATCAACTTGGCTTCATGTATTCAGTCCTAATAAGAATGTCCCCATTCCTGGTCTGTTCACCGTGGATCTGGACACTGATCGGCTCCATGGGTCGGTCTCTAGAGATGACCTTCTTCATCTAAGGGACCAGTTTGTAGGAAAACTCCAAACTCCAGTGTAACCAGCACAGACAACCGCTAACGTTTCCATAACAACCCCAGCTCTTCTAACATCTGACCAGCAGCTCCTTCAAGAGGAAGATGCATTTCTAGTTGATCTATTTCTGAACTGCCAAATGGGAAAGTCCGGATCCACTGGGGAACTAAAATCTGGAGGCTGTGAGAAGCAGGTCTAGATCTAAAATTTCTGCAGAACAAGTCCAGGTCCTGGGAAATCTAGAACATTACGGAGCCGGACCAAGGGCAGTCAGAGAGGAAAGTCCAACCAGGTTCTAGTGTTTGATAGAAGAGCTCAAGCTTTAAAACTGGGAGGGACTAGTCCAAGGTGGGGTCTGTCTGTATCCTAAGGCCAGGTCTCTAAAATGAGAGACGAGTCACAGACCCAGGTCTGACTCCTTTAATGGACGTTCCGAGTCTCGGACTGTCTGCCGAAGGCCCGCTAAGCAGTACCTGCTAGTCCAGGTGAGACCGCTTCCTGTCCCAGAACACATTTCTTCTCTACCTACAGCCATACAGGGGACACTTTCAGGTCAACAGAGGAAGCTAGCCGGACTTCCAGTCTTGGTTTGTAAACAAACACCGTGGTGGTTCTACTCATGGACATGAAGGTCAGATCTGAGATCCGGCATGGAAACGTTTTCAGGTCCTTCTGTAGAGAAACCTGTGATTCATCCTCAGCCGGGATCTGATCTGCCTTCAGGTCCGTGAACAGAAGTGCTGGTTTGCCCACGTTGCTACAGGGAGACTCTCCCTGCTTCGGAGCGCTAGCTTCCTGAGGTTAGCATCACATCTGAACATGCAGCGGTTATGGCGCCGGCCCATTTAGAGCACTATAGAGCAGGGAATGCGGAGCTGGGGGCAATGAGGACAGGCCGTCAGCGAAAGCCTCACCGTCCCCGCAGAGGAAAGGAAGGCCTGGACAGTGTAGTGCCAGCAGGAGATGGCATCCAGCACGGAGCTGGCAAAGTCCTCTACCTGCTTGTCCTCTAGGAGGAACTCATCCAGCTGCCTCGTCTCCTCCTCCACCTCTTCTTTGCTGCACCCCAGCCTCTCTGCTGAGCTCCCCATGCTGGGGAAACCCTCCTCCTGGAGAAGACTGCCACAATCCAACTCACCCAGGTCGCTGCTGCTGATGCCGCCTTCCAGCGAGAGCCTGTCATCCGGCAAGGCGTCCTCGCTGTTGGCGTGCTGCAGGATGTTACACACTGCTCATCCTGCTTCTCTCTACCTCAAACTTGCTACACATCTTTCCATAGTGACTCAAACACGGAAAAGTGTCTCCACAGAGACAAGGAAAAGCTGAGGGATCAGTTTCTTACCTGCAGAGGTGCTGAGACGTCGTAAGGGGAGGCAGCAGCAGCAGAGGAGACGTTTGGTTGGAAAGTAAAAACAAAACAGTCAGACATTAGACTCAGACAGTAGAGTAAGACGCTAGTCAGTTGCTAGAACTATATGCTAGAACCAAAAGCTAGAGTCAGACACTAGCGTCAAATGCCAGGGCCAGACATCAGAACAAGACGATAGAGCGAGATGATAGAGCCAGACGTCAGAGCCAGACGACAGAGCCGGACGATAGAGCCGGACGATAGAGCCAGACGATAGAGTCAGACGATAGAGTCGGACGATAGAGCCGGACGATAGAGCCGGACGATAGAGCCGGACGATAGAGTCGGACGACAGAGCCAGACGACAGAGTCAGACGACAGAGTCAGACGACAGAGCCAGACGACAGAGTCAGACGATAGAGTCAGACGACAGAGCCAGACGATAGAGTCAGACGACAGAGCCAGACGACAGAGCCAGACGATAGAGCCGGACGATAGAGCCAGACGACAGAGTCAGAAGTCAGAGTCAGACGATAGAGCCAGACGATAGAGTCAGACGATAGAGTCAGATGACAGAGCGAGATGACAGAGCGAGACGATAGAGTCAGACGATAGAGCCAGACGATAGAGCCAGACGATAGAGCCAGACGATAGAGCCAGACG